GGTTACTGCGATTTACAGACACTTAGTTGTCGGAACATGAATATTTAGGTACTTAGCAGCAGACGGACCTGTCTCTTTGAGGGTGGCAATATAGTTGGCACGGCGTGCACAGAAAGCAGCCTGAGCGTCAGCGTTCTTCTTCTTTCTGAGAGTGATTTTGGACATCTTGTCTAATTTGTCAGGGGCAGGGGCATTGGCTGGCTGCTTGACTGGGCAGCTGGGACTGTGGCGTCTTTGGCATAGGACGGGAGAGGAGTGAATATACATAAAGGGAATAAATATTTTGGGAGACAATAACCAGATAGGAAGAGTCAAGTTTAGTAAGCCATACATTGAACAGTAAAGAACAGGAATAAAGTTTTGCTTTGCTTGGACTGCCAGAAACTTGTAAAATGTACTATGCAAGTGCTAGCTAATATTCAAAGATCCTTAAAGGAGTATGATCTGTTTTAGTATAGTGAGCTAGAGATATGGGAAATGAGATTTGAGACATTAGTTCAGGTTATTCAGGTCTGGAGTCCAGTCCAGGTCTGGACGAGTCCATCGGTCCGGGAAATTTCTCAAAATGATGGACCCAGGACTGGACCTCTCCTGGACCCATGAGGACTGGACTGTAGAGGACCGGTCCATCAGTCCAGTCCTGCGTCCGGACCGAGTCCGAGCAGTCCGGGACTGGACATCAGCAACTATACCATATACTCGTATACGGTGTATACGGAAATTTTTTACTTATGGTATACGCATACGCGCGTAAATATACGCCCGTATTTTCAGCTAAAATTTTCTCTTACGATACGGTGCGTAAGCGTATACGCTGCAGGCGTATCCGTAAATTACGCTACGGTGCGGAGCACTATTTGCCATACATCCTTCCGCGATTATTTATTGTCCCCAGAGCGCCAAAAAGATCCTTGGTTCATCGATCTCGAGTCTCAAAAGGAGTTCATTGCTTCTCAATGTCTCACTGTTATGAGGGATGGGCTCCGGTTCAACATCTGTAATATAAAGTCATCTTATATTTCTAATAATCAAATCACGGACCTTCCGGATCGTATAAAGGCGAATATTCCTGCTCAGCTAGAGTACGTCTGCCTCTTCTGGAACCAACATTTGTGCGACACGCAATTTTCACTTATATTGTTGGACGAGCTGTCAGAGTTCCTTTATAAGCGTCTGCTCTATTGGATTGAGGTGATGAGCCTCCTCGGAAAGATCAACTATGCCAGCCCAGCACTCTTTCATGCCATGAATTGGGTCTCGGTAAGCACACAGATGTATTATCTGACCTGAAACTTATCTTATTGTTCAATTAGTTACACAATGCCGACTAACTAGCGTTAATCAGGGATGCTCGTCGGACAATTACTATATACTTGCCTGCCATTTTGCTATCAACGCCTCATATCTATGTATCAATCCTTCCATTTGCATCGATGGAGTCGAAGCTTATAGCACGTTACTTGAATCCTGATCTACCCATTGTACAAGCTAAGCAAATAGGTACAAAGCAGCGGTCAATGCTCTTGAAGGAGTTCACAGGTCATTCAGACTATGTCCTTTCTGTTGCTTTCTCACCTGATGGTACACGAGCTGCCTCGGGCTCCAGCGATAGAACGATCCGAGTTTGGGACGCCGAAAGTGGGCAAGTTATTTTCGGCCCATTTGAAGGACATACAGACTGGGTGTCGTCTGTTGCTTTCTCACCCGAAGGGACGCGCTTTGTCTCGGGGTCCAACGATAGGACAATTCGAATCTGGGACATTGAGAGCGGACAGGTCATTTCTGGGCCATTTAAAGGACACGAAAGCTGCGTCTTGTCGGTTGCTTTCTCGCCGGATGGGATGCATGTTTCCTCTGGCTCGGCCGACATGACAGTCATGGTCTGGGACACTGAAGGCGGACTTCCAGTGTGCCTCAAAGGTCACACAGGCGCGGTGAATTCTGTCGTGTTCTCCCCCGACTAGTGCTCCGCACCGTAGTGTAATTTACGGATACGCCTGCAGTGTATACGCTTATGCACCGTATTGTAAGAGAAAATTTTAGCTGAAAATACGGGCGTATATTTACGCGCGTATGCGTATAACATAAGTAAAAAATTTCCGTATACGCCGTATACGAGTATACGGTATTACTAAGCATATTCTCTAATTAAATACTAAGTTTGAGTTTCTAAACCTCATTTACTTT